CAGCAGGCTCTAAGGTGATGAGGAGTTGTGCGTTCCAAAAGGTACACACTCTACAATTAAAAGAATGCCTAACTGCCTAATCGAGCTTCTTCAGGTCTTCAAATCTTTATTTATTGTGTGCTTGTGACTCAGAGAGTGTCTACACACCATGCAGCATGCTGGGAAGTCGGGGACAAATTGGTGGGGTGGGTTCTCTCCTGTAGCCTATGTATGAGCTCCAGAGACTAAACTCTAGTTGTCAGGCTTGAGTCGAAGTGCTTCACGGGCCCTTAATGGAGCTTTTAATCACGATTTTTACAGTGAAACTCTTATTCTTTCTAATGAAATATCACTTTAAACAGGTAGTAGAGATAAAGGCACTGAATTGATTCCTCCAGCCGCTTAAGCTTTTGTTCCTTGACCTCGAATATTCCCCTGTTTATGGAGCCCCCGGGGGCTCTCTTAGGAAATGTGGTTTTTGTGGGACACAGTATGAAAAATCACTGACCAGGAACACACTACTCTGCGCTGCTCCATGAGTGCTACACTGTGCTTAAAGATCGTGCTTCCCTCCTTAGCAACCACAGCAGCAGCAGCAATACGGAATCTGGCCAAACCTTGGAACTGAAATACAGGTTTCTGGAAACTCTACAAGGAAAATGAGCCATTTGCTTGTGTAAATAAGCCCCTTCCTTTTTTATTCCTAGAGAAGCATTACACTCATAATAGCTTCACTAGAATTTTGCTCAATCATGTCCCCACAAAGCAGTTTTCCTCAGAAATATCCATTTATATTTAATGACTCTGTCTTGTAATTCCTTGAGAAGGACAAAGGCGGAAGTCCAGTCAAGGCCGTAAAACTACTTTTCTTCAAAGAATCTGTCAGCCAAATTTCTCAGGGAAGAAGCAGAAATGAAAGGGGAGACATTGATAAATTTCCCTGCTGAACAATCAATAAAACCCGCTCTGGCCTGCTCAGCCCCCCACTGTGGAGGCAAGAGCCGTAATTACATTGTCAAAAATTCAAGTTGCCCAGGCTGATGCAACCGCTTTGAGAAGTGACAACTGATTGGCACCCAGTTTGGGTGGTGAAACTGGATTGGCAGAGGCAAAGGCAAAAAGGCAAGAGTGTGGCCGAGGCAAAAGGCGAGAGTGGGTTTTCTTTATTTCCTCTAAATACTCAAGCCACAGACTTCCAGCCCTGGACTCTTTGGTCATATTAACTTATCGGGGTGGGCAGGTGACAGTTACTAAGCCATCAGCACTCCGACTGCAATAGAAAAATACCTTGTCTTGATCCACTCCCAAATACACAGACAAAGGTATTGCCGCATATGTGTGTGTGTGAGTGCCAACCTGTGTCGTTTTTCTGCGTCCAAACAAAGCCATGAAAAGCGCTTTCAAGCCCAGCTTTCCTTGTGAAGGCTGAACAGCAAAGCCCGTTTGCCTAGCAATTTTAATCTCTGATGAAAATCAGCGAGAGCAGAGGGGTTGCGAAGGGCAGTGATGAAGAAGGAACAGGCAGGGACGCACTGGGGAGACTGATGTGACTGCCACGATGACCCAGCTGTAAGTTTCTAGATGACCCTTGCTTGAGTTAAATTAGAATCCATCAATCCCCTCACTCTTAGATGCTAGGAAACAATCCTGCGAAGGACACCATTTGCCGGACAGTGTCGGCCTTCTGGCTACGCAGGGCCCATGTGACTGTTTTCTGTGATTTCATCGTAACCACACCTAGGAGTGGTGACTGTCCTGGGCTGGGAAGCAACTGTACCGTGAGAGATTAAAATCTAAAGGTACCCACTGGGTGATGGGAATGGAACGGAAGGTACCTGGGAATGTTGTTTTCTCATGAGCTCCAAGGCTAAGTCATCTCTAGCTGATGAAAAAAGTTAATAAGATGAGTAAATGTTGGACAGAGGGGTCCACATGCCACATTTTCAATTAGAAATCGCTGTCTCTTCAACATTTCCTAAAATGAGCTACCTAGCACTCCATCCCCTGTGGTTATGGAAAAGGAAAAAAATGTATAAGCAGAATATGAACAAAGCAATAAGAATTAACAGTGTGAGTTGTATTGTCACTGCTCTAAAACACCTTATACGTACTAAGTGTCGGATGGTGACTATGATTTTATAGACTGGTTTTATAGAAATTAATTTATTCAAAATCATAACTGAAAACCAACAGACCTAAGCCTATTCCTAATCCCACAATGTCCAGTGCACCAGTAAATCTCTCAGTTCCGTCACTGATTCAAAATCAATCCCCCTGAAGTTTCCTCTGATACGCACATTCAATTTGAGGATTGATTCCTCAATCCTGTGACCGTGGCATCAGAGTCTGGGGATGAGATTCAGGAGGCTAGATTTAGAAACTCTTCCTGGATTAGTCCTCTGAGATACACTAAAGCTGGCGAATCTCACCACCAATTTCTGGAATACTAAGCGGATACCGCCTCATTAGGGACTTTCTGGGTGGAAGGCAGTGAATCAAGCTGCTCACCCTTTAGAATATTTGACAGCAAAAGAAAATTAGTTTGGTTCTAATCCCTGATTGTCACCAGACCCACCTTTGTCCTGGGAAGAAAGGCCACTGAAGTGACATAATGATTTTAACAATGGTATTCCACTGTGCCTGAAGGAGATGCTACTCCAGACCTCAGGTGGTAAGAGATGGCGAGAGATTGATGACGGACACGTGGGACTTGATGCTCTGAGGAAAGGACATCTTCCCACCCAACTGGCCAATCCTTTTTCTCACGGACTTTATTTCAGATGAATGAAGTATAGAATTATCATATCAGAGAGGGTGTAGATTGGATCATCCCACATCCCATGCTCAGGCTTTGCAGATTAGGTGACATGTTTCATGGGAGGGGTTTTGAGGGTGAGTGAAATATTGATGGCAGGTCTGAAACCAAAGAGAGGTGAGAGAAGATGAGCAGGAGGAGGAGGAAAGAGGGGCACAGAGGAAATAAAGGAAAAAATACAAAAGGAGAGAAGAGGAGAAAAGAAAATGGGAAAGGGAAGCAGAGAAGAAATACACCCAACTGTGTCAAGGTTGATTTATAGACACACTAGGGATATTCCTCTTAATATACAAAAGTTTGAAACTTATTATTAATAATGGCATTTACTCAGCTTTAGCTGTGCCATATTGAACATAGGCTCTGCCACTGTGGTTTTTCTTTAATTTGATATTTCCTTATTTATAAAGTTCACAGAATTTTTAAAATATAGCCATGTAGGATATATTATGAATGTTTTCACTTATTATTCATACTTGAACATGGAAGTTCAAATAAGAGAGAGAAAATACATGGAGCAAGTTTTCATTTTCCTCCTTTGAATTCTAGTCTCTAGAAGAGTCAAGCCATGACCACTGCAGGTGGCCAAAGTGACCAGCAGACTAAACACTTGGAGACCACAGCTAACCTGTGCAAAGGCAAAAGAAAGTTGTGGATCTTAGCTGACAGATCCATGAAGACAGGAGAAAAAGAGTAAGAATCCATGGGACAGGAATTCCGAGTTCCCATCCAGATATGTTATTGGTACTTAAAATTACAAAGTCAGTGGTTTCCCCAACACTTATCTGGCTCAGGGCCTATAAAAAACTATAAAAAATCTTTTGGCTTCCTCTTAGAGTAAGATGAAGAAGAAGCCATAGAGTATTTTGTGTGTGCATGTGTGTGTGTGTGCATGTGTGTATGTGTGTGTGTATCGACAATGATTATTACACAGTTTGTAACAAAACCAGGACAGAGGACAATATCAGGCTCCTCAGTACAGTTTCCACCCCACATCTAAAACAATTTTTCTATTACAAGTGGGTTCCATTTTTGTTGTATCAATACAAAAGTGCTAGTATTGGTGACATCAGGCCTTTTCAGATCAGGCTGCTACCTGGGGTCCACATTCTAGGGTTTTTTTTTTTTTTTTCATTTTCTTTAGTTTTGTTTGGGGTTGCTGAAATTGTAGTTCTTACCCATGTTATGCAAATACTACATTACTGAGTCACCTCCCAACCCTGGAGACCAAAATATTGCTCTGTATTTGACCAAGACCAGACAACAAATGTATATAATTATCTGCTAAAACATTCATTTAATTCTTACATTTTCCAGTTGTTATCAATATCCTACATATTTAGTAATTGCTTATGTCTTAAGGGAAGAAGCAGTCAATTTGCAAAATGGAATGAGATGATCAGAAAGCAAGAAAAACTTGACACAGAAACTGTTTTCTCTGGGGAAATCATGTAACGTGAAATCCCCATTTGTAGGGGGATTTCAGATACAACTCTAACTGAGCTCGGCATGTGTTGTGATGGGTGGAGGGACGAGCTGAACAATTAATTGTGAAGAGGAGTTGTTCATATTTGGTTTGTAATGTCGGGATATTACCTGCTGAGAAATACCAGCTTCTTCTAAATAATTGTCAGTCAGTTTTCCCTGAGTCCAACAATCACTCCAAATGTCAATCTCAGTGGCATACTTGAAAAAGATTTCACTCTTCACTGACATACACCACTGTCGTCATCACCTCTGGCCTATGTTGTCTTCATGCAGGGTCCCAAGTGGAAAGAATTGCCCCTACCTGTGATGGGCTAGTCTCAAGTGGAAGACAAGAGACAAATGGATAAAGAATCCTCTACTTTTGCTTGTAAATCCTCTACTTTTGCATGAAGTGTAATCTTTTTGCTCGTATTCATCAAACCAGAGGATGGCTATGGCTAAGCTCACCCTCAATGGGACAGGGAAAATGACTCTGAAAGGCAAAGCCATCTGAAGGTGTGCAAAGTTATTCAGTCCATTGGAACCATAACCATAGCACAGTCTGACGCAGAGAGTAATAATTAGATATGTTATTTAAGGAAATAATGCTATGCATTAATTGACCCGCTGTCTCAGCAACAAATTCCTGGGCTTTTTAAATAATTTAATCCATGTTCCTTGCCCACATATTTGCTAGAAACAATGCCATTTCTGCTTCTTTTGTGAGTTATCTACTACTTACCATGCAGGGAAAGGGTTCCATTCTTCACCGCCAGGAACTTCACTCCATAGGGAAAGAAGGGGGTAGAGTAGGAACTTCCATAGAGTTTGAGCTGAGCTTTGCCTTGGAAAGGTTTGTCCTCAGAGCCGATGTGGAGCTCTCCCCCATCTGTAATAAGGATGGAGTGGGCTCTGAGCTCAATGGGTCCTGGTTCCATGAAAATCAGCTTGCCACCTAGCAAACAAAGAGCAAGCGGTCAGTCTTCAGGAGGATGAGGCTCACCCTGTTTTGGCAGTTGCAACATGTGATGAAATTGCTTTTGTTTATATACTTCTGGGAGTTGGACTTAATATACAGTGAACTGTATTCTAGAAGCATTATAAGGTAGGCCAGACACCCAAGGATGAAAACATTTTATCTTTAAGCCAGTTCTCCTAAGATATTATTATTTGTTGCAGCTTTGATAATTTATTTTGTGCAACAATCTAAATATCCAGCAACATAGAATTAGTTAAGGAAATGATTGAGGAGGTCACTGACTTTACAGGTTACAATAGATTAAACTTGGTTATAAAATTAAGCATATGACAAAGTCAATGCCTAAGAAACAAGGCTAGAGGAAAATGGGCTAAAGGTATAAAAAAAAATACAATAAAAGGAAGCAGTGAGCTAACACCTTGCATTTTGTGGGACACTAGTTATCCAGTATCTTCCACACATGCTTTTCTCAACAGACCTTAATTTCAGAGTTCTTCCTCACTGGATGTTGGTGAGTGGCCTATCAATCAAGACTCCGTGTCATGTCATACGTTAAGTCAAGACTGAAGCTTCGAGAGGCATGCAGAGCAAAGGGGAAGGGGGAGGCATTTTAGATCTCATTAATTCCATTGGTGATGTTCTAAAATTTCTAAATTCTCAGGAGAGTTCCAGCTTCTAAGCCCACCACCTGCCCACCTCCTCTGCTACAAAAGCCTTGATTCTGATTTGTTTCTGTGTCTGGAGGTGGAGACTTTTGAAAGAGATGAGATAAAATAAGAGATTAGAGAGTCTTGATTGAATCCTGTTACTTTATAGGGGGAGGGAGAGAGTGTGCATAGAAAGAGATATAAATATAATCCTACAATAAAATAATGCAAAAGCAGGGAAGGAAAAATTGCAAAAGCTTTTTCAATGCTATGTGGCCATGTCAGCTGAAATAAAACAATTTTCTTTACAAAGTATCTGGCCTCAAGTATCTTATTATACTAACAAAAGCTGACTAATTCATGCTTCAAACATATTGGCCTGTCTGCTAGATCTTATGGTCTGGCTTTAGGCTTTATGTTTTTGTTGATATTGTTTTTACTTGTTTGTTCATTTGTTTTGGTGTTGGAGATATCCATTTGCTGTTGGACGTTGTACATGCTAGGCAAGTGTTCTATTACAACGTTTGACTCTACATTCTCAAACAAGATTTCTAACATCAGTAAACACTTTCTTTACTTACAAGTACCATGTGGGTTGTTTTTTTTTTTTTTTTTAGCAATTGAAAGACATATTACCTATTTGTGTCTTTATTTTCTGCTCTTTCTATACCAGAATGCACTTTTTATGGAAGCAATGACCAATTTTGTTCATTTGAAGTACGTAACAGCAGCTGATAGATAACTGAACTTGGTATATAATTGTTCAGTAAATAAGTATAAAGGTATATCTTTTTAGACAATCTGATGCAAATCTGAACAAATACTTACTTCAATTTTCTCCAAAAAGATAGCATATTTCTATTTGAGATATTAGACATTATCACAGTAAATTGAGCAAAATATAAATGTAGAGAGAGAAAGATATTAGAAATGTCTCAAAGTGCAGATCCTACTTTTACAAGGGAGATGTTGGCAAGGGGATGTACACAACAAAGACTATTCAATAGCTAAACTTTGTCTTGTGTTCAGTACACTAATTCATGCATTTAAGTTGCTTTCCAGAAACAACTGGAGGTAGTTAACAATGAAGAAAAGGAGAAACAGAAAGAGCTAAGATGCCTGTGGTTATTTTTCTTCGCCTTCATCTTAATGCAGAGATAATGATCAAGAAATGTTTGGCCAGCTGTCAAATGCAGAGACTATTTCTCTGACCTTTCTCTCCAGCATTTTTGGCTATCATCATAACACTTTCTAGTCTTCAGTCCCAAATCCCAATCCACACGCCACCATCAGTAACAGTCATAAGATGTCTACATGGACAAGAACTCCTACACTTCTTCTGTTCAGAAATACTTCAGACAGACTTGGCCTAGGCATCTAATTCATCATTTTATAAAGTATTCAAGGGAGTTTCTCTGAAGAATTAAGATGAAATTCATTAAAGTTATGCTCATACTGATGGCCACTCATTGCAAGTGTCTGTTGCTTTATACTTCCCACCTTCATTCCCCAACTACTGTTAATGTCCACTCACTTTAGAAAATGGCCACGGCACTACCTAACCATTGACTTCTAATGGCTCACTGCTGTCAGTATTGACTTCTCTCTTGAACTATTGTAACTGGAGGTTTCTCTCCCACCCTCCAGTTCCTTAATATCCACTCTGAGGCTTAATATTAATTAAAACTTTTTGGCCGATGGCTCAGGCTTATTACCAACTAGCTTTTACTTCTTAAATTAACCCATTTCTATCAATCTGTGTATTGTCACTTAACTGTGGCATTACTTCACATGTTGCTTTTCCGGTAGCTGCTAGCATCTCTCAGACTCCCCCTTCTTTTTCCCTGTATCTTTGCTTGGGTTTCCTACCTGGTTCCACTCTGCCTGGCTATGGTCAAATCAGCTTCTTTTGTTGCTTTCATTGGTTAATAATAAAGAAACTGCCTCGGCCCTCATAGGACAGAAAATTAGGTAGGCGGAGTAGACAGAAGAGAATGCTGGGAGAAAGAAGCTTAGTGAAGGAGTCGCCATGATTCTCTCGCTCCAGACAGACGCAGGTTAAGATCCTCCCTGGTAAGCCAGCTCGTGGGCTACACAGAATATTAGAAATGGGTTAGAACAATATGTAAGAGCTAACCAATAAGAGGCTACAGATCCGGGCCAGGCAGTGTTTGAAAGAATACAGTTTCCGTGTAATTATTTCTGGGCATAAGCTAGCCATGCGGGCGGCCGGGTGCCAGGGACGCAGCCCTGCCGCTCCTACTTCAACATTCTTTGTTAACCAACAGTTATGAAATATATTCATACATACAGGAGGACATCCCACACCAATCTATACCCTGTGTAGACCATACAAGACAGAAAAAAAAAACTGTCTTAAATGCAAAGAATCTCCCCTTTGGGAATCCCTGGGCCTGGTGCTGAAGAACAGTAGCCCTCTGCTTACCAAGCTTCTAAAAGACCCATCACAACCATGATATTAATTTTTCCAGTCATCGTCATCACACTAGAAATGTTAATAATGAATCTGAACTCCATTGTGAACAAAAAAGAAGAAATGAACCCTGTGATGCAGTTCATATAATGGCATCAACTAAAATTTATACTCTCATCACTCATATCCTCACTAATTACATTTGACTGAGGGACCACAAATTGTATGGCAGGACTTCCCACTGTAAAGAGTCAGTGAATCAGAACTGACCTTGCTGAGCAAATACTGAAGGCCATGCTCCAGTCCTGTTAGATGCATCTGATTGACCCTCAGTAGAACCTGCAGTTTCATTATTTAGCAACAGTTCAGTTTTCTCAATTGCAAAGTAGAGGGGAGAACCATGCACCTGCTAGATCCTTTTAACTCTAGAACATTTGATATCCAACTATAAGGACCATACAGCATCCCTTGGTTCTTGCATTCTCGTTGAAAAGATTTTAACTAAATGCATAAGGAGCCTCAGCAAGTAGATTTTAATATAGTAGATCAACCTTATTTAAAGCAAGAATATATTCACTTCGCATTAGTAGACCATACAAGAGATGAGATCTGTCAGGATATCAGGTTTATTTTATTGATTACTTTTTGCTGCTTTTTATTGGTGTATGTCTATTTCTTGTCATCTAGTCATGTCAGTCATCTTCTCCCATTATGATCTGTGGCTTTAAAATATGCTACTTTAAAAGCATACCTCCTCTCAGTATATATTCTCACCTATAACTAAACTGAACTGGATGGCTTCCAAATTTGTGACCCATTTATGAGATCTCATGACTTGGTCTTGTGACTATGTGTTATTGTAATATCCTTTTGTTTCCTCTAAGACTCCTTCCTCCGCCATTCATATCTAAAATCTACCAAATAATAATGTAGTCAGATTTGGAAAGAGGACAGAGTCTGGTGGGAAGGTGAAAGGAATATAAAAAGAGGGCTTAGGAGGGCCTGGTTGTGATGCAAGTACATAGGAAGTATCCATGAAATTGACTCAAGAAAGCCTATTATTTTGTGCAGTGATAAATAGATGGCAGAATTTTTTAAATTTTTATTCTTTACATATATTACATTCAGACCACACTACCTCCACTCCTCCCAAACCCCAAACATCCCTCCTCCTAGATCCACTCCTCCTCTGTTTCCTTTCAAATAGAGAGAGAAGGGGAGAGACTCCCAGGGATATCAACTGAACATGGCTTAACAAATTGCAATAAGGTTAAACACAATCCCTCATATCAAGGGTGAAGGGGGCAACACGGAAAGAAGAAAAGAGACCCAAGCATAGCAAAAGCATCAGCAATACCCACACTCCCACACAGGAGTCCCACAGGAACACCAAGTTATGCCAACCTAATGCACATTCAGAGACCCTAGCTCAGACTCATACAGGGTCTGTGATTATCTCTTCAGTATCCGTGAACCCTGCTTAGTTGATTCTGTGGGCTGTATTTTCATGGTGTCCTTGACCCCCTCTAGTTCCAATCAATAGACAGTTTGAGAAAGGCAAAAAGACACTGTCGATAGGACAAAAAATGGCGGACTACAGAATGGGAAAGTATTTCCACCTACTCCACCTCTGACAGAGAGCTAATATCTAAACTATATAATGAATTCAAGAAACTAGACATCAACAAACCAAATAATCCTATTAAAAATGAGGTCCAGACCTAAACAGAAGTCTCAATAGAGAAATCTCAAATGGCTGAGACACATGTTCAACATCCTCAGCCATCGGGGAAATGCAAATCAAAACTGCTTTGAGATTCCATCTTGCACCTGTCAGGCTGGCTAAGATCATAAATATAAGTGACTGCTCATGCTGGCAAGGATATGGGGCAGGA